TTGGTGTAGGATATATATTAGGCGTTAAACATGTGCTTTAGAAAAGCAGAGATCATGTGACTGCTTGATTCTAAACATGAAAAGTTTGAAATTAAGACTAATTAGCTTTTGAAATTAAGACTAATTAAAACTAATACTAAATATGCTTACAGAGTAAATTGGAGTGGTAAAGCAATTATTTTCATTCTGTAATGCAAAGTTATTTTGGCTAAAATATTCTGTTATTATGCAAAAGCATTGTTCTGGACTAAATTCTTGAGATAATTCTGCTTTTGGCAACAAATAACAGAAAACCAATCTGAATGGGCTTCAGACAGTAAGCACAGTTCCAAGCTCCTGGATCTGGAATTCTAGACTTAAAACAGTGTTCAAGGTTGTTTAGACATGTGGATCACAATAAACTGTGGAAAATTCTGAAAGAGATGGGAATACCAGACCACCTGACCTGCCTCCTGAGAAATCTGTATGCAGATCAAGAAGCAGCAGTTAGAACTGGACATGGAACAACAGTTTGGTTCCAAATCAGGAGAGGAGTACATCAAGGCTGTATATTATAACCCTGCTTATTTAACTTACATGCAGAGTACATCATGTGAAATTCTGGGCTGGATGAAGCAGAAGCTGGAATCAAGATTGCTGGGAGAAATAGCAATAACCTTAGATATGCAGATGATACCACCCTTATGGAAGAAAGTGAAGAACTAAAGAGCCTCTTGCTGAAAGTGAAAGAGGAGAGTGAAAAAGTTGGCTTAAAGCTCAACATTCAGAAAACTAAGATCATGGCCTCCAGTCCCATCACTTCATGGCAAATAGATGGGGAAACAGTGGAAACAGTGGCTGACTTTATTTTTCTGGGCTCCAAAATCACTGCAGATGATAACTGCAGCCATGAAATTAAAAGACGTGTACTCCTTGGAAGGAAAGTTATGACCAACCTAGATAGCATATTAAAAAGCAGAGACATTACTTTGCCAACAAAGGTCTGTCTGTCTAGTCAAGGCTATGGTTTTTCCAGTAGTCATCTATGGATGTGAGAGTTGGACTATAAAGAAAGCTGAGTGCCAAAGAACTGATGCTTTTGAACTGTGGTGTTGGAGAAGACTCTTGAGAGTCCCTTGGACTGCAAGGAAATCCAACCAGTCCATCCTGAAGGAGATCAGTCCTGGGTGTTCATTGGAAGGACTGATGCTGAAGCTGAAGCTCCAATACTTTGGCCACGTGATGCGAAGAACTGACTCATTTGAAAAGACTCTGATGCTGGGAAAGATTGAAAGTGGGAGGAGAAGGGGATGACAGAGGATGAGCTGGTTGGATGGCATCACCGACTCAATGGACATGAGTTTGAGTAAACTCCAGGAGTTGGTGATGGACAGGGAGGCCTGGCATGCTGCAGCCCATGGGGGTGCAAAGAGTCGGACATGACTGAGCAACTGAACTGAACTGCCTGAACTGAATAAATCGTTGTGAATATTGCTGTCGAAAAGAAAATCTTGTCCCCCTCTGTGCTCTGGGTGACTGTGGTGCCCATGTGCAGATGAGCCATGCTGTCCGGAACTTCCTGGAGAGAGGAGAATAGTCTGACATAAACACAACCCCAAGTCTGAGTTGTGGAAAAAACCCTAAGTGAAAAGAAAAGAACCGCTGGAGTAAGTCATCCATCCATTGAGGAAAGAGGCCCTCATATAATGAGTGGTTTTAATCTGGAACTTAAATATCCTCAAAATCTAAGGTGGCCTTTTCCATAAAATAGTGTTTTAACTAAAGATTAGATTTTTGGTCAAATGCATAATGTCCTTCTCTAGAATTATAGAGAAGTTACCGTGAACCACAAAGAAGCTTTCTAGAATAAAAAGTTTTTATATGTTCAGTAGTGCAGTGAGAGGATGAAGAACAGAAGCTCTCATCAACTGCCTGAACTTCACATCCTAGCTTAGCCACCCTTCTTCTATTGAATCCTTGTGTGCTAAGCCTTGTTTTACTTATTTATACAACAGAACCCTTAAGAGTACTGACTCCAGAGAGTCTTGATGAAAATTAAATGGAATATTTCATGCTTCATTTCAATTCATCAATTCATTAACCCAGAATCTGAGAAATATTACATACTTAGGAGGAATTAATCATTTTAATGTGGGCAATATATAGAAACTAATTGTGAAAAATATTTTGATAACCATGTAAAAATATACAGTTTTCCCCTGGTATCTGTGGAATATTGGTTCCAAGACCTTCTGCAGATACCAAAATACTCAGAAGCTCAAGACTCTTGTACCGAATGGGTCTCAGCTGATGCTCTGTATCCACAAGTTCTGCATCCATGGGTTCAGCCAATCACAGGCCCTACTGTTGGTTGAATCCACAGAGGCAGAACCTGTGGATGTGAAGAGCCAACTGTATTGTTGGGACATACTAAATTCTTTTGCTTCTGGTATTCCTGATTCATTTTTGGAACAGCAGAGGTGAGGGTAGGGGTCTTACCATTTCGAAGATTAGCTCAGGGAACATTTTAATAAGGATCGTATTAGTTATAGTACAGGTCAATTTGCTGTAACAGAGATCCCCCAAAATACAGCGACAAACAAGAGAAAAGTGTCTTTTTCTATTACATGCCCACGCAGAGGTGAGTAGCCCAGCCCTGAAGGTAGCTCTGCCCCATGAGGTCACCAGGACCCAGGTTCCATTTATCTCATTTCTCCATCATCACCTGCAATAGATTGTATAATCGAAGCCATTTCACCAGTATCTTCTTCTTCCACCCCTCAGGAAAGGGAAAACTGTGAATGAAGAGCAAACCATTTCCTTTTTAAAGGATGGGACCCAGAACTTGTACACATGGCTTCTACTCCCACCTCATTGCTGAGATCTTAGTCACTGGACCACCCACAATTGAAAGAGAGGCTAGAAAATATGACTTTAACTAGGCAGCCATAAGCCCAACTAAAATTCTGTGGATTCTGTTATCCAAAGGGGGATGGAAAGAATGCATGGTTGAATCAATTAGCAGTCTTCCATTAGTGTTGCTATGGAAACTACTATTGTTTCATTGATCCCGGGATACTGTTAATTTGGAGACACACCATCATTTTATGCACCACTCAGTGAGAAAAGCCATGCTATTGAAGCTGTGGCTCATTACTTTCTTATCAGCTGAGTTATAGGACACATCCTAATTTCGAGATTTTGAAATGTGAAAACTTTGTGTCTTGTTATAGAATAAATACAAGTTTTCCTGGTGGCACAGTGGTGAAGAATCTGCCTGCAATGCTGGAGAGGCAGGTTTGATCCTGGGTTGGAAAGATCCCCTAGAGAAGGAAATGGCAACCCACTCCAGTATTCTTGCCTGGGAAATCCCATGGACAGAGGAACCTAGTGGGCTGCAGTCCATGGGGTCACAAAAGAGTCGAACATGACTTGGTGACTAAACAACAATGATAGAAGAAATACAGTGTCAGAAAGACTTAGGAAAATAAAATGATCTAAAGATATTCATTTTGCAGTCTTCTTTGTGTGTATATGACTTTCCTCGGAGCAAGCATAGGCAACAGATATCAAGATTTGGTTGATGCATTGAGTGTAACATTTAGAACAGGTGATTGACAAGGTACTATCCATGAGAATTTAAGTCAAATTCCAACACAAAGGTTTGGGGAAAATTTGCCGAGCTTTCCACTCAGTCTGGAACAGATCTGGAGTTGTGTAAACAGATGATGAGGGTCCTGTTGTCACTAACCAGGTTTCTCACTTAGCAGAAGGATGAAGACCAGGGACTACACTCAGCGCAGAGTCTTGGCCAAGGCACTTGACTTCCTATTTCAACATGCAGTCATCACCCAAATATTGGTTGGACACCAGACACTTTGCTTGGTGCTACAATACAGTCTCTGCCCCCCAAGAACTCCAGAGCTTATGCAGGGAGAAGAATAAGTAAACCTGTAAAGGCACGCAATTGTGTAGAGCCTATGATAGAAGTCTAGTGAGTGGAGGCACCGAGTGGAGATCGTCAGTTCTACCCGAGGTTAGGGAAGACCTCCCCGTGGTGGTGAAATCAGAACTAGGGAGAGTTAGAGTTCTTCGTGCAGAAGCATCAAATATGCAAGTGCATGGAAGTGTGACACAGTGGTCACTGCAAGAGACTGAGTCATGGTCTCTTCAGCACACAGGATTAGAAGCAGAGAGGACTTCCCTGGCATTCCAGTGGTTAAGGTTTCATGCTTCCACTGCAGGGGGTGTGGGTTCAATCCCTGGTCAAGGTACTTAAGATCCAATATGCTACTTCATGCAGCCAAAAAAGGAAGAAGAATTTTAAAAGCTCAGTAATCAAGATAAATACTATTCTAGTACAATATTTAAATACACAAAAATTAATGCAAAAATAATTTGTAGAAAAAGACCAGAAGCATCGGGTATGTTCAGCTGTTTCCTTTCTAGTACTTTATACATAGGAGGCAAACAGCAATGTTTGTTTAACTGAATTAGAGAAAGACAAACTTCTTGAATGGCCAAATAAGGATGAGCTAAATTTTCCTGTTATCAAAAACCTGCTGGATTCCAGTACACGGACAGGAACAAAAGGACACTGTTGATGCCAGCCTTGCTCTAGAACTAACCATGACTCTAGCTTATTGGTTAACATAAGATTTGAGGAGTTAATAGATAAAGGAACTTGTTTAGAACCTGCTTTCAGCATCTTTATGCTTGTTTTCTCCAATTTAACAAATGCACAATGTATTTTACTTTAGAACACACCTTTTATCTTTGTTCACTCCAAGCATATCACACTGCTGATTCTCAGCACAGCAAGCATACCTTTGTGAATTTGACCTAGGACAAAGTCTAGAGAACCAAACTTTTTGTACTCAGGTGCTAAGATGTCATAATGAAAGACCCTGGTCGGTTCAGTAAGATCATTCGGTAGCTTGGAATCTGGTCAATGACAAATCTATAATATGCAGATGCCTCTTGCTGTATATTGCTACTGAAAATCTGCTTCTCTTGTATAGATCACTGTTACGGATGAGGAAGTTAGTAATCCATCCTTTGTAGATCTGGTGAGAACTCCCCAAATGAGGAAGTGCACACTTATACTTATGTTCGCTTGGTAAGTTTGACTTGTGATGGATTCAAAAGCTTGTGTCAAATTTACAACGCATCCCTCTCTCCAGATCAGGTGGAAGTTCTGTCTTAACTTGTTCTCTGTTGTCTTTTGATGTTACTCTAGGTTCACAAGCGCTGTGGTTTATCAAGGACTCGTCATGCGCCTGGGAATTATAGGAGGCAACCTCTATATCGACTTTTTCATCTCAGGAGTTGTGGAGCTGCCAGGAGCCCTCTTGATCTTACTAACCATTGAGCGTTTTGGTCGGCGCCTACCCTTTGCAGCAAGCAATGTTGTGGCAGGGGTGGCGTGCCTTGTCACTGCGTTCTTACCAGAAGGTAACTGTCCCTCAAGTCTGCTTGGCAGCCAATACCTTGAAAAAAATCTTAACATAATCAAGAAAGGGGGACTTCTCATCTTTAGCAAATGTCCCCTAGCATCAGCATCGTAGTGCCAGGCACACTCTCGTGATGTCTCTCCGTTTCTGCCCAATCAGCGTAACGACTTTGAGTGTAGAAGATTGACTCTATAGATTTTTCCATTTTCTCCAGTTCTAGGGTCATTTGTGGATGAAACAGATGTGTAAAACCTAGATTGTAGTCATAGTTTACTTTTTTAAAAAAATTTAATTGAAATTTACTTTATGTACAATATTGCATAGGTTACAGATGTACAATATGATGATTCACGATATATAAAGGTTATATTCCATTTATAGTTACTATAAAGTACTGGCTATATTCTCCATATGGTACAATGGATTCTTGTAGCTTACTGTAGCACCTGATAGTTGTACCTCTTCGCCCCGTGCCCCTACATTACCCCTCTTTCCCTCTCCCCAGTGCTAACTGCTAGTTTGTTCCCTGTATCTGTGAGTTTGCTTTTTTTTGTTGTTATATTCACTAGTTTGTTGTACTTTTTTAGATTCCACACATAGGTGATACCTTGTAGTATTTGTCTTTCTATGTCTGACTTATTTCACTTAATATAATGCCCTCCCAGTCTATCCATGTTGCTGCAAATGGCCAATTACATTCTTTCTTATGGCTGAGTAGTATTCCATATATATGTATATGGGCTTCCCTCGTAGCTCAGTTGGTAAAGAATGTGCTTGCCATGTAGGAGACCTCATCTTCTTTATCCATTCATGTGTCGATGGCCACTTAGGTTGCATCTTAGTTATTGTAAAAATACTGCTGTAACGTTGGGGTGCGTGTATCTTTTCCAGTTAGTGGCTTTGGTTTTTTTCCCATATATATATACCCAGGAATGGAATTCATGTAGTTTGCTTCTGATCACCTTTATCTGACTTAATTTTGTGATATCATTGACCCTGTTTCACATTTCTCCCATATCACTAATTCCCTGCAAAACACGAAGGTTACAAAGGGAAGAAAAACACATTTCTTGACTTGGAGAGGTTGACAACCTAGTGAAGGGTATGAACAAACTAGAGTATGGTTCTCAGAAGTATGAACTATCTCTGCTGGTTCAGGAACCAAACGTTCTTCGTTATTGCGGGAATATCCTGGAACCTTCTTTGTTATCATGGGAATACTCTGGCACGGAGGCGGAGGGATCATCCCTGTCCAGCAATGATAGCCTCACAGTCAGGCCAAGAGCTTGGGTGTGGTCTTGTGAGCTTCGGGTGGTGGCGAAGTGCCTCCTAGTGACCGCAGAAGTGGGGACAATAGCAATGGGGAGGGAGAGATGCTGAGAGCAGGAATCAAAGTGGTGGCATTCAGGCCTGCATGGGAGATGGTGATTTCAGAGACATTTCAGAGTTTAACTGGGGAGGGGAGGGCTTGGTGACTGCTGTGAGATACAGAGGTTGTCCGTAACCCCAAGTACATGGCTAACCTGCTGCCAATTATCCCTGTCCTGGAACACAGCAGGCCCTGGACAGTGGAAGCCTTTCAAACTCCCAGGGAATGTGTGTTTTAGATCAAGTTCATTATTTCCACATTCCAGGAGGTGTCGGGTGGGGGGGGCAGGGGGGAGGTTGCTGGGACAGCTGGAGCCTCTTGTAGTACTTTATGTCAGCACAAGAGAAGCTTCTTTATTTAGTTTGAAGAATTTTTTTCTTAATTTTTTTTCTTTTCCATATGGTTTACTACAAGATGTTGTGTATAATTCCCTGTGCTATACAGTAGGACCTTGTTGTTTATCCATTCTCTATAGAATAGTTTGTATCTGCTAACCCCAAACTCCTAGTCCATCCCTTCCCTACGCCCTCCCTCTTGTTAACTACAAGTGTGTTTTCTAGAGTCTGTTTCTGTTTTGTAGATAAATTAGTTTCATAGTTTCAGTTCAGTTCAGTCGCTCAGTCGTGTCCAACTCTTTGCAAACCCATGAATCGCAGCACGCCAGGCCTCTCTGTCCATCACCAACCCCTGGAGCTTACTCAAACTCATGCCCATCGAGTCGGTGATGCCATCCAGCCATCTCATCCTCTGTCGTCCCCTTCTCCTCCTGTCCCCAATCCCTCCCAGCATCAGGGTCTCTTCCAATGAGTCAACTCTTTGCATGCCGTGGCCAACGTGGATGACTTGGAGAGGCTGACAACCTAGTGGAGGGCATGGACGAAGTAGAGCACAGTTCTCAGAAGAATGAACCACCTGGGCTGGTTCCTGGGCTACAGCACACCAGGCTCCTCTGTCCCCCGCTGTTTCCTGAAGCTTTTTCAAACTCACGTCCATTGAGTCGATGATGCACCCTCTGTCACCCCTTTCTCCTTTTGCCTTCAGTCTTTCCCAGGATCAGTCTTTTCCAGTGAGTTGGCTCTTTGCGTCAGGTGGCCAAAGTATTGGAGCTTCAGATTCAGCATCAAGCCTTCCAGTGAATATTCAGGGTTGATTTCCTTTAGGATTGACTGGTATATTCTCCTTGCAGAATGATGTCATATAGTATTTGTGTTTCTCTTTCTGACTTTGCGTATGAGAAGATGTCTCTCTTTTTTTTTTTTTGAGAACCCACTGAGGATCAGAAAAGAATTGATAACACTGTGGATGTCGAAACGGTCAGACATTTATAGATAAGTTCATTAATAATATACTTGTGAAATCCTAAAACATCAAATAACCTTATTTAAATACCATTATAGAAATGCCCATCTTCAGAATGAGGAGGGGGAGAAATCCTGTTATATTGGAAGGGTTGATGAAAAACAGAACTGTTTACATTTATCTCATTTTTCTTGAGCATCTAAGTTTCCTAATGCTGCTGGAACAAATTACCATAACCTGCATGGCTTGCAACACAGATTTGTTGCTTCATATCCTGGAGGCTGGAGTCTGAACTCCAGGTGTAGGCGGGGCCGCCCTCTCCCTGAAGGCTCTCAATGATGATATTTGCCTGCTTCTTCCTGGCTTCTGGTGGTTGCTAGCCATCCTTGGCATTCCCAGACAGCATTCCCATCTCTGCCTCCATCTTCACATGACCTTCTCTGCATCTCTGTGCCTTAACCATGACATCAGCAAACACCTTATTTTGAAATAAGGTCACACTCTGAGGTTCTGGTGAACCTGAACTTTGGGGAACATGATTCAACCTACCACACTGAGATAATGCATTTTAAGAGTTGGGGAAGGGGATTCCGTGGCGGTCCAGTGGTTAGGACTCGGTGCTTTCACTGCCAGAGCCCAGGTTTGATCCCCTGGTCAGGGAACTAAGATTCTGCAAGCCTCCTTGTGTGGCCAAAAAAAAAAAAAAAGACTTGGAGGAGATATAAGTCAATGCATATCTACTTAGTCTCTATTAATTGCTGCCACTAAACTAAGAGTAAGGATAGAGCTAAAAACAAGATAGACATAATTTCTTTTTTTTTTTAACTTTTAATTTCATATTGGGGTATAGCTGATTAACAACATCGTGATGGTTTCAGGTGAACACGAGGGGCTCAGCCATAGACATACATGTGTCCAGTCACCCCCAGAACCCCCTCCCATCCAGGCTGCCACATAAGGCTGAGCAGAGTTCCATGTGCTGGACAGCAGGTCTTTGTTGGTTATCCATTTTAAATTTAGCAGTGTGTACATGACCATCCCAACCTCCCTAGCTACCCTTTCACCCTGGCAACCATAAGTTCATTTTCTAAGGAGACAGGAGTAATTTCTGTCTTTGGGCATTATGCACAATTTAGTAGAAGGTGGCAAATGAGGACCACTGGATACTTCACGGATCTTTCCATTTTACTTTGGCACTGTATAGTTTTAGGTTTAATTTTTAATTGTAGTTTCCTAAGACAAGGTCATCTGTTCTCATTCCCTATGGAATAGTAATCAAATATTAATTACATGTTCATTGCATATGAAATTAGGAAAGTAAAGAAAAAGAAATGACTTAAGTGTGGCCCATCTTTTCATGATAGAACTCTCCCCCAGAAGATTTTCTCTGGCCCCAAACAAATTGGGATGGTTTTAATGTGTGTTGCCTCCAGCATGATCCCAGAAAGCATTGAAGATCAAATGTCCAAACCCATGTTGAAGTAACTAAGTGGGTGGGAATCAAGCTGTCTTACAGAGAACACTCTCACATATTGGAAAACAGAAGACCAAGAATAGACTTTTCTGTTTGATCTGGTCAGTTTTATTTTGTAGACAGAATCTCCCAAGTCTTAGAGTTGTTCTTAGCAACAGTGGAAACGACTTGCTCCTGTTCTGGGCGCATTTTATTTGTGTGTTCTGCAGATATGGCTGCTTTCATAGTCTCATGCCTGTCGTAACTGACTGCCAAGAGTAAGTTTAAATCCGTGGTGCTGTGTGTGAATACCAAATGTTAGCAGGGGTTGCTTGCCTGAGCTGAGAGTCCTCACTTCCACTTAAGGGAACTTTTGGACTTGGTTCCTTAGCCTGTTGAATTAACATTAGAAAGACTTTTCCTCTCAGCCATTCTTGACGTCATCACCAGGATGACTGCCCCTGAGAAGAATACTGAGCAGCCTTTTAGGGGAATCAGCTCTAAAATTATCTCAGAGAAAACTGTTTAACCAGCGTCCCCCCCACGAAGCCCGACTGGAGAATGAAATTCTGGAAAACAATTTCAAAACAATCGTTCGGGCTGTATCCTCATCTAAGACCCACTGTCTCTGACCCAAATTTTTGAATTCTAATTAAAGCCTGAAAAATAAAAGAGCTTTTATTTTTTTTAAAAATTTTATTTTGTGTTGGGTTATAGCCAATTAATAATGTTGTGATGGTTTCAGGTGAGCTGCAAAGGGACTCAGCCATACATATACAAGTACCCTTTCTCCCCCAGACCTCCCTCCCATCCAGGCTGCCACATAACGCTGAGCAGAGTTCCATGTGCAGTACAGTAGGTCTTTTCTGGTTATCCATTT